AAATATTTGTAAAATTGTATATAACTGTTTTCTACTTTAATACATTTTAAAATACAATTAATTCCTGTGATGGCAAAGCTGAATTTTTAGCAGTCATTACTTCAGTCTTCACAGTTTTTTAGGAAATCATTATAATATACTGATTTGGTGCTCAAGAAACTATTTTTATTATTGTCAGTGTTGAAAATAGTTATATAACTGATATAATAAATAAATATAACTGTGATACATTTTTTCCAGAATCCTTTGATTAATAGAAAGTTTAAAAAAAACAGCATTAATTTGCAATAGAAATGTCTGTATAAACATATTTCTTTCTTTTAAAAAAATATTACTGACCCCAAAAATTTGAACGCCAATGTATAGTTTCACATGAATATATCTGTGAACTTTGTCATAATGATTACATTGCAAAGCCATTAAAACAATCATTGATGTGCAAAGTCAGTATATTTGTACTTTATATCATAATTTTACTTCATATATTTTAATGTGGCAAGGACAATGAAACATTTAACGTCCATTTTCTTATATTTAATATTGGTTGAAGTAAACTTTAGGATTTTTTTTTTACAACAATTACATACAACTGGCCAACACATATAGTACCGCCATAGACTCCCTATACAGGAGGTTCAGATCACTTGTTAAAGACCCCTGGACAAGTCTTATATGGAGAGAATTCTTTTTGATAGTTTCAAGGATTTTGCCATTTTGTTTGATCACTTAAAGCCAGTATGGCAAAGGTTTAATTTCTTATCTAGTCCTGTTCTTCTTGTAACAACACTTCAGATACTGTTAGCTGGTTCATGTTTCTACTGAGTTTATACCGGTTGTTAATTAATAACTCCTTTGGTGTCAACAATCAATATCCTCACTGACATATTCTGTGTATTATTAAAAAACAGAGCGGCTAAGCAACTGAATATCTTCACACCTTCATAACCGTGCAGGCTATGGTATTTGAAATATGCTCTTGAATGTGTGTCTGTCAAGTTGCAGTCAATATCCACTGGGGTGGATTGAGACATGGGGAGTTGAAAGCATAACGCTAGCAGCCAGTTCAAGCCAGGACAGATTACCCGATACTCTATTAGTTAAAATAAATTACTTTTACCTTGTTTATTTGCTTCTTCAAGTTACATTTTAAATCTTTTGATGCTGAGAACATGTTCATATATGCATTGGCACCACTTTGTGCCTTGCCTGAACAAGTTTTAAGCAGAAGAGGCAAAATTCTGGTTGTGATGTTATGACATGGTGAAGGCTTATCGTATAAGAATTAATTAGGTAATGCTTAAATTTGAACATGAACTTTTATTTGATAAATACATAGTCTGTGATATGTTTGGTCTTAAAGGGAAATCTGTCATCATTTACTACCCTCTTCCAAACTTGTATCGCTGTGTAGCGTAGCCATGGAAAGAGGTGCGTTAGAATCCATTTGCAGAGGTAATGGATAGCAAACAGCTAGGGCAAACAATCTAAAATGACGAAAATCCAGGCAATAGCTCAAAAAATTGAGCAATAAAAGAAAACTGCTTTGTCATTACACAGTGATTTAAGAGAGCAATCATTCTATCTCTGACCAATTCACTTGTTCAAATGAACTTTATATTATGGACATCTTGAATACATGCTTTTGCATCAATGTTGACAAACCAAAAATGATGGAAATGATGCTTATGTGAAAACAAAATAGCTGCTCTCTTAATCATCTCTTTTTATCTCTCAAATCAATGTAGTACCCTCATTGTACAAAGACGCTGGTATATTGGGTTATCCGACTTTGACATTCAAGAACAAAAGACAAATCAAAAAAAAAATTCTAAATATAATGGCTAACACCACACTGAAACCCCAAGAAATGTTCTTGGGTGTAGGCTAAATGCTCGCTTGTTAGTGGCAAGATAAAAAGAATGGAAAGATGGAGAAGGAAAAATGGAGGAGTGAGGGGATTTGTTGCTGTAATTGAATAGATTTGGCTTGTTACCACAAAGTTGTTAGGTGTCAAACTGGGAAACAGTGTGTCTGTGTGTGTGTTAGAATGAAAGTTAGCACATATCCTTATGGGCAAAGTAGCATGACTGTTTGTTAGCGTGTGTGTGCATATGTCTATGAGAAAGAGAATTTGAAAAATCACATGCTGATTATAATTTTTCCCCATTCTGACCACATAGTGCTGTCTTTCTCAGCAAGCATCATTAATAGGTTTTGTTTTTATAGCATCTTTCCAAAAACAAGTTTAGAAGTGAAGGTGGTATTTATTATGCTCAGTTCCACCAGACCTGATCAGTGTGTATGTATCCAGGATGACTGAATGTTGCCATTGACTGTCTTTTTAGTACCAATGCTAAAGGAATAGTTCAGTCAGAAATGAAAATGCTCATAATTTTCTCACCCACATGTCTTTCCAAACCAGTATTTTCTTCCTAATCTTTCTTCTACCTTTTCTTGGTAGGCCTTATCAGCCCTCATCCATTTCCCATGTAACATTCTTCTGACAGCCCCAGACAGTGTTTCATGGGTTGGTGATCAGTACAGCTTCTGAAGCTCATCTAGCAGCCTTCCAGAGATGTTCTGTCCAGCTCTTTGAGTGAACAATGATGTCATAAATGTACCTGACAGTAGACACGGCGAGGTCTCAGTATTATCCATATTCCTCTAAAGAAATTCATATTTTTATTTTATTCAGCAAGGACCCATTACATTGATCAAGAAGTGACAGTAAAGACATTTAGAATATTACAAAAGATTTCTGTTTCAGATAAATGATGTTCTCCATTAAACAATCCTAATAAACTCACAGTTTTCACAATATAAAAATGTTTCCTGAGAACCAAATCAATGATTTTTGAAGGATCATGTGACACTGAAAACTGGAGTAATGATGCTGAAAATTCAGCTTTGCCATCACCAGTATAAATTAAATTTGAAAATATATGAAAATAGAAAACAGTTATTTAAACTGTAATAATATTATAGTATATAGCAGCTCAACTGTTTTCAACACTGATAATAATAACAAATGTTTCTTGAGCACCAAACCAGCATATTAGAATGATTTCTGAAGGATCATGTGATTTCTGAAAAATTTTCTGAAGAAATTCATTGGTCGTATCATTTAGAAATGTAATAAACAACCCTGAAGCCCAAGTATGAACAATAATAAAAGTTTGTTCCTTAATTAGTTTGTATTGCCAACTCATGTTCACACATACACAACGTTTTAGCATTTAAAAATTGCACACCCAGCTCCACTACACAAACACCCTCCATTTCATTTCTTACACGGCCACACACACACACACACACACACACACACACACACATACTCATTTCATATGCAACACAAAGCGTATGTGTGTGTGTGTGCATTCTCAAGTGTGTGTGCTTTAAATGTCAAGGGTGTGTAGGTTTAGCATTTCATTTAGCATACAATTAAAAACAGGAAGAGTGGGGATAAGAGAAAGATCATGAAAGAAGAGAAGTTAGGAGAGGGCAAGTCACTAAAATGAAGGTGGGTGGTGGTGGAGGAGGACGAGGAGGGGAAGAGGACAAACAGAAAATATTTTTGAGAAGGATGGATGAAATCTATCTGTGAATGGATGAAAAAGAGATGGTGAAAAGGCTAAAGAGAAATTAAATATGCGGGAATGAATCAAGTGAAAATAGCAGACGTGATGAATAAATAAAGTAGCTGGAAGAAGCAATACAGTATGAGGTATACACCTAAGAGAGAGAGAAAAGACTATGAAAGAATGGATTTAAAGATTCTCAGATATTTCTATAAAACTTTCCACAGTACATTATTACAGAATGGCAACACTAGCCTTTAAATTACTAATTTAGTAAATGAAAAGAGCCACAAAAGTCCAAGTTTATATATATATATAGGGTCACCCACCCTCCCTGTATAACTGTGAGAAGCAAGTAAGTAGCGTCTATTTCCACCCACTGGTAAGAAATAGTATTGCAACTTGTTAAATTAATACTAACGCATAGAAAAAAAGAGAAAGATACTGAATACAACAAGAATTTTTGTTCTGTTGTTCTGTATGTAATATATGTGTGACATTTCATAATGCAGCCCTAGCTCATGAATATTAATTTATTTAGAAATAAATCAACATAATCTGTTACTATTGTGATAGTCTGTGATAATCATGTCTGTAGTATTTGCCTTTTTCCAGATCAACTGAAATGAATAATAAAGACCTGATTAGAAATGAGAAATGTACAATAAATGTTTAAAAAGTTGCTATTTTCTACATAAAAGTTTGCACTACACAGTATAAGGCAGGGCTCAGTAATTATTAGTTCAGAGCCATTAGTTCAGATTTGCATTTGCCTATATTTTCACAGGCCCCTTCAAACATTATCTGGTGATTTTATTCTTGGCAGCATATGTTTGTGTTTGTCAGAAAAATATATATTTTTTGTTAAATGTTATCTTTCCCCCTAAAAATAAAATAAATATTAATTAATTAAATGTATTTTATTTATTTATTTATTATTATTACATCTTTAAGGGGGAAAGATAACATTTAATGAATCAATGAATTAATAAATTAAGTAAGTAATTAAAATATTAATTAATGAATTAATAAAGCAGCCTTATTTATTACAATATTAATGGTTATTCTAATATGAATATTTATTAGATGTAGTAGTATTTATTCAATTATTACAAAATAAATATTTATTCAATATTTGGAAAAGAAAATAATAACACTTGTATCTTCTCATTGTACCTTGTTAGTGTTAGTGACATGTATTAGTGATACAGAAAAAAACCCTAATATTGAGCCTTGCTAGGAAAACAAACAAAAAGACTCTACTAATCATGTTAGTCAAACGTGTGGTCTGTTTTTTACTAACCTTTACCCTAACATAGTAGTTCATTACCTGCATTAACTCCCGCTTTGATCCAATAAAATCTGCACGTGAACTCTGTTGCAATCCTATTACAGTATTAGACTTCCTCTACTGCTGTGAGTCCAGCTGATTTCTAAGTATTCAGCAAGCACTAAAATACTATTCAATAATTTGATTAAGAAAAACTCAGCAGAAACAGACCAGTGAACAAATGCAGATTTCAAATACCAGAGAGTTAGAGAGAGATTTGCTGGAAAAGGCAGAAGAAATGAAGATAGTGCTTAGAAAGGGAGAAAACGAGGGAAGGAGAGAGAAAAAAAACATGAGTAGGAACGTGAGGTCAGTTCTAATAATACTGATAAGACCTTGTCATGGCCACCACACCATCTCACTCTACTAGAAAGAATGGAGGCAGTGTTGGACAGCTGTGTGTGTGTCTGGCAGGTGTGTGTATGCGTTTGGGATGTATTTGTATGTGTATGTCAGATTAGTTTTTGTTTGTTAGAGTTGTGCGAGTTTATTCTGCAACTGTCTTTACTCCTGTTCCACTGGATCCCTCATATTTGGCTGGTGGTGTTCATCTGGCAGTTCACGCACAGGAAGATTCAATTTGATGCTAATCATGTCTACGGTACGCATAGTATTTGTGTGTTTGCATTCAAATGTGTGTAAAAATAAAAAACTGCATGTTGTTTTATGTCTACTTTGTTGTGACTGTATGTAGCCTTGTGTGTGTGTTAGTGTGTATCTGTGTGTTGAGTACTAGATGCCATGTTTCAGCGGTCAAGCAGGCAGATGACCAAATGACACAGCACTTTAATGTATGATGTCACAGTAAGCAAGCATTGCTCATAAAGGGGGATTGATGTTTATAAAATAGGAGTGGCTTATTAACTGTTTGATTCTAGAATTTTGGAATTCTTGAAGTCAATTCCATCTATTTACTTTATTCTTAAGAAAAAATGGGAATGAAATGATCTTATCATAATGGGAATGTATCTTCAATAAGCTGTCTAATGGTATATTTTACACTAACATGATTGATAGTATGAATCAGAAGGGCAAAATAACTCGACATTTCCTATTAAAATTAAATAGGTCTAATCTTTGTAAACACACAGTAGCATAGTATAGTTCATAGTTAAAATCTGTTTTTATATTCGTTTTGTTATGAATCTGAATTGAACTAATTGATTGAGTAACAGTGATTCAGAGATTCCTAATACTCAAAAAAATTTGTTGCCACCAACTGGTGTAATGATGTAACACACAGAAAGAGTCATGAATGAATGAATATAAATGTGTGTTTTTGTTGTTTTGGTAAACAGGATCAAAACATTCAAGTAGCAGTGATGAATCAAAGTCCGAACTATGTGCTGGTAAGGCTCTTCTAGAAAGTGTAGTAGTAGTATTTTGGCAATCAATTAAATGGACATACACGTTCATCTGTGTAGTCAGTTCCCCTCAGTAACTTTTGGGATCAACTGCCAGCCCTGCATTCTTTATCAGAGACTAGATTTAAAACTAAGGAGGCTAAAATTGTAGTACATTTTTTAGATTTGAAAAACTAACTTACAGTAAATGTCAATAATCATTTGGGTATTGTTTTGTGTTTATTTACTTCTGTATTTCTGTATGTATGCATATAAAGTGTGTGTGTATATATATACATTTTGCAATTTAGAAAACCCTTTCAGGATATCTTTTTATTGAGAACTGATCACACTACATTTAATGTTGCTGAAGAGAATTATCTGGTGTTAAGGAGGTTTAACTCTTACACTGTAAATAACTTGTTCAAAACAGGATTGGCAGGATTGTAGTAGTCAGCTTCTCTAACCATTAACAACTAATTTACACGTGACTGGCTGGGTGTAAGCAAAAACACCAGCAACTCTGATTAGTCTGCTGACCCTGATCCACAGCAGCATTCGATCAGTGGACAGTAACATACTGGAGACATCTAACACCAATGTCATCCAACAACCAGCAGCTGTTGCACACTGGGATGCTACACTCTTAAAAATAAAGGTGCTTCAAAAGGTTCTTCACAGCGATGTGTAGAGTCGTAGAGTTTAATCCGGACTCTACTATAATCTCATCAGACGCTAATCTTGGTGACTAGAAGTCTTCCTCTTTGTAAATGGAGAAACATAAGATATATTTACCATGTATTTACCTTAAAATTACTGAATTGGGTGGATATTGAATTTACACACACACACACACACACACACACATACTTGTATTTGTGGTTTACGGGGACTCTCCATAGGCGTAATGGTTTTTATACTGTACAAACTGTATTTTCTATTGCCCTACACCAACCCTACACCTAAACCTAGCCCTTACAGAAAACTACTGCCAATTTTTGAATTTCATAAAACACCGTTTTGTATGTTTTTTAAGCCTTTTGTTTTACGGGAACACAGGAAGTGTCCTCATAAACCATGTTTACGTTGTAGTACCCATGTCATTATACACATTTGTGTCCTTATAAATCATATATACCAGTACACAGACAGACAGACAGACAGATAGATAGATAGATCTAAAGTGACCTAAATCTGTGGAATTAGATCATAGTAAAATTAAATCTGCAGAATTTTGCAGACGTATTACTGCATCTACATGATATAACAAACACATAGTGATAATGCAGTTCTGGTCATATAGGTAAGTCTTGAGCTTGATTAAAGTCCTTTCTTGTGCCCTTTATAGTAAGGATCATCTGTACTATAACAGCACTAAACATACAAAGACAAACACACACACCTCCTCAACATATAATCATAATATTGTGTTCATAACATTGAGTGTTTTCTCAGAAGGATCAGATGGAAGTGTGCAATAAATAATTTAGTTATGCCAGAGCTGTGTTAATTATTCTAGGATGTAGAAGTAAATGAATCTTTTTTCAATGCCCTTGTGTTATAGATGGAAAGCCCACTTCTACAAAGTATTTAGATGGAACTCTGAACAACCTCAGCTGTCCCAGCACCATACACAATGGCTGTAAGTCTGTGTGTGTGCGCATGTATGAGTATTGTGTTGCACTGCATATTCACAGCATGTCCTATGGGAAAAGATACCGTAAAGGTCATGTTGCTGTATGCATGTCCAACCATGACCATATGCTTTTGTTTGTCTGTGTAAGTGTTTTGTGTTTGTATCTGGTTTTGTTTGTGTGTAAAGAACACATGACATGGGATTAAAGTGACAGTAAATGCAGTGTCTATGTGTGTTTGTTTTAGTCAGAACACTAGCAGCATGTGGTGCCACTGCAGGTCATTTTAAATTTAGTTATGAAGGGGGTGTCTGTGACACTGCATGCCAGAGTAGAGGGAGTTCATACTGCTGTCACGTTCCCACTCCACTTTCTCATTCAGTCTTCAAGAGAGTGGTCTGATAGAGAAAGGTGACAGTTCACTTAAAAATTTCTCTTGTCGTCCCCAGGCCATCTCATCAATATGCAGCGTTCAACACCTGTGGACCCCACAAAGATGGGCACTGGAAGAGCCATCGCTGTCCTCACCTCTGGAGGAGATGCACAAGGTGAGGAAGTGTGTATTTGTGTGTATGGACCTTTATGGAGACCAACTCTGTGGAAGTAGGGCTTTAAAGAGTTTTAGGGTGCACTATTTCATTATCTCTTTATCTTAATTTCTAATACTGAAAGTAACAAGTCTTGTGCCTTAAAACATAACTTTTCCACATTTATAATATGACAACTTTATACAACAAAACAAATAATCTACCACTGGTCATTTTACCATTATCGCAGTTGAAAGCAATATTTTTGTGGAAACCCTCATCCAATTTTTTTTGAAAGCTCAAAAGAACAGATTTTATTTGAAATTGAATTATTTTGTAACATTATAAATGTATTTACTGTCACTTTTGATCAATTAAACATGCCCTTGTTGAAAAAAAATATTTACTTATTAAAAAAATCTTACTGACCCCAAACTTTTGAATGGTAGTGTAGCTGTTTTTGGGTAGTTCATGCATAACATGTCTATGATTTTTATTCGGAGTATATTTTACATGCATCAAGAGTTTAGGTAAAATAATTTATATGAATCTGTAAGGGAAGGTATTCCTTGTAAGAGAAAATAGGGAAAGTATATTTATATAAGCTAACATCAATTTTTAACAATTAATTTATTAACCTATATATCTTTGTTCCATAGAACACTAAAGGAGATGTTTATATTATCAAGATCCAAAAAAAAAAATCCACATGAAAATGTTTAGGAAACAAGTCTTGTTCATGCTTTTGTGTATTCCAAATTGGTGCAATTTGTTCTCTTCCTCATCGTTGTTGCATAACTTGGACAGTATAGATCACTGTCCTCTTTTGTTGGAAAAGATCAGCATGGTCGTTCTGCTAAACATCTCTTGTGTTTCATGAAATGAAGGATTATGTGTCCAGAATGACATGAGAGTGAGAAAATGATGGCATAATTTCCGAAGAACTATACCTTTGAAATAGAGATTTGATTTTGCGGAGTGAGAAAAATATCAGTGTTTGTCATTTAGGAAGGTTTTTGTCTGCATTATCAAGAGCAATATGCAGTTTCCGCCTCTTTTGCATTAAAATGCAAGGCATAAAGTCAAATGTGTGTGGTATTGAATTTTCGGCATAACTTGATAGATGGTCATTTGAAGTGGTTTTGTTGGATGCTTGATTACCTGATTGAACTACCACCTCCTCATTTACTATTGCAGCCATGTTGAATGAGCAACAGGAATCGTATATCAGAGAGGTCATGAGAGGTGCTAAAGCTTTCACACTGACCTTTTATCCAACCTTTAGCAGTAGGAAAAAGAACCGACCTTTAACCTTATCTGGTACCAGCTGGAGAATAAGTCAAATAACTGTGTAATGTCAACTAGTCCTAGAAGAACCTTAACTATGGTCATCCCATCATTCCCTCTCTCTCTCACTCAATTCCTCCCCATGATCTCTGTCTCTCTCTCTGTCTGAGGGGTGTTATATTTAGCCAGTGACCTTTGGGGAAATGTGGTTGCTTTAGAGAGCTGGGCAATGAAGCTTGCCTGTTGTCCTCTCTGGTTCAATCTTAAATGAAACTCGAGCCACTTAGATTGCCCTTTTCAATGGGACTTAACCACCATGTGTGTTTGTGTGACCAGATGACAAGATAACAGGTTTAGAATAAAACCAAAAGCAGTTTTTCTCACTCACTTTCCAGTTAATTAGTAGTTACCTTGATACCTTTCACGAAGAGTCACCAAAACTTAATTAAATGTAATGTTTGTGACAAATTAAAGACAACCTTAGACCTCTAGTTCTGGTATGTAAATGTCTAGCAAATCAAAAGTCTAGAAAATATGTGCAATAATTATGCTTCTTTATTTATTATACTGTATCTCAGGTATGAATGCTGCTGTCCGAGCCACGGTGAGGGTTGGGATCTACACCGGCGCGAAAGTCTATTTTGTACATGAGGTTTGTACATCTAAGCACACACACATAAGAAATAAAGAATTAAAAGTGAAAGATTGGCACTCGCTGTACACAGAAATTGAGAATTTGAAATTCACTTTCTAATTCACTCAGCTCTTGCTCAATTCAAAATCCACTCAATCTTTTAAAGTTGATGTATTATGTAACGTGTGTGTGTTCAATCATGCATCCTCCAATCTTTGTGTGCATCTAGGGTTATCAGGGCCTAGTCGATGGAGGAGATAACATCCGACAAGCAACTTGGGAGAGTGTGTCAATGATGCTGCAGCTGGTAATAAACTCATTATCTCCCTTCACCTTCAACCAGGAGCATCACTAGACCCTTTTTACTGGGGCACGATTCACGAAACAGTTCACTAAATCACTTAATCGTATGTAGCAGTTTCTCACACCGTAACAGGATACTTTATGACAGAAAACAAAAATAGCGCTGAATGAGGAATTAACCCATAGTCCATTCCATTGTGTGACACAAAACACGCAAATGGTAATATCATTGGTTTATCAGCAATGAAGCTGCTTTTTATTGCTTGTGAATATGCAGTACACTCAGTACTGCAGGTGAAGACGATTTATATCCAAAACAGTATCATAAAAGAGCATCACAATTTTAAAACACTTTTTGATGGGAGGCCTGTGTCCCAGTGTTTATGGAAGGCTAGAAACGCTCCTGCTTTCAACAAGCATTTTTGCTCATTGTATTTATTATTGTGCATACATCAATATACAGGTGCATCTCAATAAATTAGAATGTCGTGGAAAAGTTCATTTATTTCAGTAATTCAACTCAAATTGTGAAACTCGTGTATTAAATAAATTAAATGCACACAGACTGAAGTAGTTTAAGTCTTTGGTTCTTTTAATTGTGATGA